CCCAGAGGGGAGGGACAGGAAGCAATGGGGGAGGGCAGAGGCCGTAGAAGGCCTTCCAGAGCCAGGTCCATGCAGGACAGGGGCTGGGGCTGCCCCACCGTGAAACTCACCGGGACTGCACGGAGGGGCCGTAGAGGGGCCGGGACCAGACTGCACTTGGGGTGACAATCATCCTCCCGCCTGATCAGCTGACCACAGACCCGAGAGCTTTAGGGAGAGATGAGGGCATGGGGGTCACTGTGGGTCCCTCCAGCCCCAGGCAACCACCGGCCGGCTCTGGCCCATGTAGGAAGGGGCCACGGAGGCCGACAAGTAATCACCCCCTGGGGACACTCAGAGAGGGACCCTCATGTGTGGGGACCCTGGGCCCACTGCTGAGTTCCTCAGTAGTGGATTGACTACCGCAGTCAGGCACCAGGTGGGATGGGCCCGGTGCACTTGGTACCCGACGCGGGCAGGTGCTGATGGGCCTTTGTCGGCTTGGTTCTCAGGGAGACGTGCTCATCACTTCCTGCACATACAACACGGGAGACAGGAAGCTGGCCACCGTGGTAAGTCACCTGGCTTCTGGCCATCTGCTGCAGAGCACGTGGACAAGTCTTATCTCCTCTAGACCAGAGGGCAGGGCTGCCCTTCCTTCATTCATTCAATCAACCAGTGGCTCTCAGGGTGTGGCATCCACTGGGACCTTGGTTAAAAAAAAACCCGATGGTAAACTCATCGGTTCCTCCCCAGACATATCGAGCTGGAGCTGGAATTTGGGTGGTGACACCAGCGACCCATGGTTTAACAAGCTCTCTGGGTTATTTATTTATTTATTTATTTATTTTTTGTGGTACGCGGGCCTCTCACTGTTGTGGCCTCTCCCGTTGCGGAGCACAGGCTCCGGACGCGCAGGCTCAGCGGCCATGGCTCACAGGCCCAGCTGCTCCGCGGCATGTGGGATCTTCCCGGACCGGGGCACGAACCCGTGTCCCCTGCATCGGCAGGCGGACTCTCAACCACTGCGCCACCAGGGAAGCCCTCTGGGTTATTTTGATGGCTGCCCTAGGTAGAGCTCCACGGCAGTAAATATCCACACTAGAGCTGGTGCTGGGGAGCGGCCACAGGTGTGAGGTTGCCCCCTGCCCCCAAGGAGACAGGCCTGCCACCAGCGACAAGCAGAGTTGGGATAAGACACGGTGGAAGTGTTGGGAGCAGGGCCGAGCGAGGCGCTTGTCAGACAGAGACCAAGGAGGGGGAGAGGCGCGGAGGGCCAGGCAGAGGGGAGGCGGGCAGGCAGGCAGAGGACAAAGGTCATTCTCACACCTTTGGTAACAAATCTGCAGCTGCTTTTCTAACAAACTGTTAATCAGCAAAAATAAAGGGGCTACAGAAACGTTCATTGTTACGCTGTCCCCTTTTGGGCTTCATGCTAAGACGATCCCGTGTAAATGTACAGTTGACTCTGCTCCGGAGGGATGGGACACGGGTTCATCTGGGCTGGGCTCTGGGCAGCCCAGGAGGAGGATCTGTCCAGCGGGAGACTGTCCTCAGGCTAGGTGTGCAGGCAGCGCCAACGGATAGGTGGTCACGTGACGAATCGAACAGCTGGGGCACCTCTGAGAACAAAGGGCGACCCTGTTAACAATCATGGCACAGACCAAGACCGCCCGAGTGCGCTGACCACTTGCTGACAGAGTCTCTGACTGTCTCGATAGTCAGCGTAGGTCCCAGGAATCATCCCGGGAATCACGAGGTTCCGAGTGGACCAGACCCGGCGTTGCATCCCAGCCTGCTCTGTCCCCTCCCCTACCCAGGAACTCTGGTCTGCACCCAGTACTGCTGTCTTTTCATTCAGCTGACGTTCATTGAACGTCTACTCTCTGTCCCATTTAGTTTCCTTTAAAACAGCTTTTTTGAGATATAATTCAAATACTGTACAATTCACCCACTTCAAGTGTGCAATTCAATGACATTTAGAATATTCGCTACATGCAACCGTCACCGCAGTCAATTTTAGAACATTTCCTGCCCCCAAAAGAAACCCCAAATCCTTCAGCCCCATACCCTCAGCCCCAAGCAATAACTGATCTACTTTCTGTCTCTATGGATTTACCAATTCTGGACTTTCAGATCAACGGAATGATATAATCTGTGCCCTTTTGTGACGGGCTGTTTTCACTCAGCATCGTGTTTTCAAGGTTCATCCAAGCTGTAGTGTGAGTTGGTGCCTCTCTTCTCTTTCTGGCTGAATAAGACTCCATCGTGTGGATGGACCACAGTTGTTTGCCATCCACGCGTGGATGGACACTGGGGTGTTTCCACCTCTTATTTAGGGTTCACACCAGTCTCCAAGGTAGGAATCCTTGTCTCTGTTTTCATGGGTGAGAAACTGAGGCTCAGAGAGGGAAGACACTTGCTGAAAGTCACACACCTGACAACTAGGGCTGAACAGGCATTTAGCCCCGGGCTGTGTGCCTGCAAATTTCCTGCCTCGTGACCCCTCCCTCCGTCAAGATTTAAGGTGACAACTGCTCTGGGTCTATGGTCACTAACTTGCGGGGGGGCAGGAGACCTTTGCAGGCACGCATCCCCGCCCTAAACCCAAGCACCTTCTTTTTTGTTTGTTTGTTTTGGCGGTACGCGGGCCTCTCACTGTTGTGGCCTCTCCCGTTGCGGAGCACAGGCTCCGGACGCGCAGGCTCAGCGGCCATGGCTCACGGGCCCAGCCGCTCCGCGGCATGTGGGATCCTCCCGGACCGGGGCACGAACCCGCGTCCCCTGCATCGGCAGGCGGACTCTCAACCACTGCGCCACCAGGGAAGCCCGCCAGCACCTTCTTTATGAGACTGCAAGGGGGGGGCTCAGCACATAACAACAGCCGCTAACGTGGAGCTCCTCCTACCCCTAACCCTTCTCCACGCGGAGGACTTGCTATAATGACTCAGCCTGTCTGTGCGTAGGAATGCTTGAAGCTTGGCCAGGACCCTCTGAGGCAGCTGCCCCAGGAAACAGTGAGATGGAGCAACTGGGGGCACCCAGCTGGCAGGGAGCAGGGCTGGTCCAGGCGCCAACACTGCACGTGCTGCCTCTCGGTAGGGAGTCTATGAGCTGAACAACGCCCCAGGCAGGACCGCAGCATCTCCTACTCTGTGGGCGAGGCCACTGGGGCTGAGGGTGGGAGATGTCAGGCACCTGCTTGGCATCCAGCCGGTGAACAGTGAAGGGGAGCCCCCCAGGCCAAGCCCTGCTCCGTGTTGCTTCTGCGAGGGCCATGCTCCCTGCCCCACCTGACCTCATCCGGGAGAAATGGTGTCACGTCCGGGGATGTTCTGGCCACGTGAGTGTTCCTGAGGGCTTCAGGCCACCGCCCGGCACCCTCCTCGGGGAGGTGGCCCCGTCACCAGGCGGGATGACGGAGGAGGGCAGCAGGGCGTTCGCACACTCTGACAGCCCCGGGGCCTGAAACGTGATTTCCATCCCAGGGTGGAGACAAAGGGAGGGCTTCCTGAGCAGAGCCTGCAGAGGGTCGGGGCTCTCTCCTTTGATGTCTGAGACAAGCAGTAGTAGGAGGTACAGGAGTCTGTGGAATTCCAGGAGGGAGGTTATCTCCGTGATCTTAGGCCAGGACAGGACGGGTGACGAATCCCGAAGGCCTTGGGAAATGGGGGGTCAGAACCAGGGAACAAAACAGGTGAAAACCCTCCCCCGAGGTGCCGCTCAGGAGCCGGGCAGCTGCTCCTGGGGAATTTCCTTTTTAAACAGTCATCCTTGAGCAGAGCTGCCCAGGCTCCCTGTCCACTGCCTGACGTGAGCCCTCAGCTGGGCTTTTCACAGCGCTTTTGTTCTGCCATAAAGGAGCAGATGCCTTTCTCCCCTCAAACTTTCCCACCAGCCAAATAAACCCCCCCAGGCCCACTCCATTGTTCACAAAGAGCCGGGAGCCTGGGCAAGGCAAAGGTGGGCCGGGGCCATGCACCCAAACCTGTCCCTGACCTGCTGGGGTCTGAGCCGCTGCCAGGCGGACCTCTGCTCCCTCCAGCCTGGCCCCTCTGCTGCCAGGTTCCTCCTCTTCCTGGGTCAGGGCTCCCTGTTCAGCGGCTCTGAGAGCAGGGACCTGGCCAGGGGCTTAAAGCTGGTGGCACTCTGCTCCCTCCCAGGATGACAAAGCCACAGGTTTCCCTGGGTGGCTTGTGACAGCTTCTAGTCACCGGCTCCTCTTCTGGAGCCCCTGCTCCTCCCAGAGCTGAGTTCTGGAAATGACGGGTAGCCATGCGGGGTCTTCTGTGAGGGGAGGCCTCCCCTGCTGTCCCCAGTCCCCAGGCTCACACCACAGACTGAGGGGACAGGTCCCCAGCCAAGGTTGGGAGCCTGCATCCACTCAGGCCTTGCCCTTTAACCTCCCTGGGACTCAGTTTCTGCATCCATAAAATGGGTACACTAATACCCCTCTCTGTAGTTTGATTCCTAACAACTCTTACCACCACCCGAGACGAACGTACTGGCTGACTTGTTTGCTATTGGTCTCTCCTGCAAAGGCTGGGAATTCCAACAGGGCAGGGACTTTGCTCGCTCAGAACATGGTCTGGCACCACGTGATGAGGGAACTAATGAATGCATGAATGCGGTGAATATATGAGATGTTGAGCGGCAGCGTCCAGGAGTAAAGTGCCTGTGCTGACGGGCGTCATCTCTGTCCCACAGGGGGGCTTTGGGATCCTGGAAGAGATGTGCGTCAACTATGTGCACTACTACCCCCTGACGCAGCTGGAGCTCTGCAAGAGTGCTGTGGACCCTGGCTTCCTGCAGAAGTATTTCCACCTTGTGAACAGGTGATGGCTCCAGGGGAGCACATTTGCTGTGCCTTCCATCCCTGGGCATGGCAGGGGAACCCCAACCCAGAACCCCCCAGGCCCTGTTAGGCAGCTGGGCGAAAGTGAGGAATCCAGGAGCAGGGGGAGCACAAATGTGGCAACCATATCTCCACTCCTCCTTGAGGTGTCTGTGGCAGGCATCACTAATCAATCCCTGCACTTGTTTCCTAGTGAGTCTGGACTTGGCCTGAGAAGCCCCCTCCACCCAGCCCTGGAACAGCCATTCCCAACTGATCCAAGCTGGCAGAAGAGATGAACCTATTAGCCATCGCCAGCAGGGAGTCAGGGCCAAGGCAGTATGTTAGGAGGCTGGTGGCCTGAGGGCTACTCTGGGGACCCCACCCATCTACAGGGAGGCGTCACTTGCCCTGCTGGGCTCCCCTCCCCTCTGCCATACCCTACTCTGGGCTGTTTCTTCCCCCAACAAGGTTCAACAGCGAGGAAGTCTGCACCTGCCCTCAAGCCTCTGTCCCTGAGCAGTTTGCCTCTGTGCCCTGGAACGCCTTCAACCGCCAAGTGCTCAAGGCTCTGTACAACTTTGCCCCCATCTCCATGCACTGCAACAAGTCCTCGGCTGTCCGCTTCCAGGTATGGCTGCCCTGTGTGTGTGTGTGTGTGTCAGGGGCACTCCAGCCGCCGCCCTTGGAAACCCTGTCGCCCCTTCCCAACCCCCGGTGGCAAGTTCTGCGGCTGCCCACCCCTTTGTGCCCCAGGCCCCTCAGAGGACCCCGGCGTGGGTGACAGGGCTCCACCCCAAGGAGCTGGCAAGACGCACTCACACAAAGCAGTTGAGTAATCTGGTGGTGACAGACGGGCCCAGACAGACAGCTGACGGTCTGCAGAGGGAGAAACTGACAGCCACCCCAGAAGGGCGCTACCGCTCTCTGATGCCGTCACATCACGGGACTAATCTTGGTGGTATGAACAGGCCGCCAGCAAACTCCCCCGGAGCCTAAAAATAAAGTGCTTAGGGAGGGGCAGGTGAGAAACCAAACAGTCTGAAACTGCAGGCTGGTTTCTCTCCTTATCTGAGACCCACTGGGATTCAAAGGCATCTCATTTATTCCCCAGGCCAGCCGCCTGTCTGAGGCCAGGGCTGGTGCTGAGTTAGGCGTGGAAGGCTCTGCAGCCTGCAAATCTGGAAGGCAGGTTTTCTGGAGGCATTTGGGAGCTGGATTAGTTGCTAAATCAAACATTCCCAGCACCAAGGGCGGGCCTCACAATGGCGCGTCAGAGAGTCGTTTAGGGCAGACGTCTGATGCGGTTAAAATGTGCCCTTTGATGCAGACTAGTCATGGGGCGGGGGGTGGGGATTTGCTAAAAAATCAGCCTGTGCCCAGGGCTTCTGGTTGCTTCCCTGAATGAAGTGAGGGGCGTCCAAGGAGGCAGATAGGGGCCTAGGATGACTTCCAGGTGAGGACCCCCAAGTAGCAATGGAGGGTTGGTTTGGGACAAGGTGAGTTTAAGGGAAACAGGTCATTGGGAAAAGTGCCTGGGGAGGTGGCCTCCGTTTCATCCCTCCAGCCTCAGTTTACCTCCTGGTCCCTTCCTTGCAGGGTGAGTGGAATCTGCAGCCCCTTCCCGAGATCGTCTCCAAGCTGGAAGAGCCCACCCGCCACTGCTCAGCCAGCCAGGGTCAGAGCCCCGCTGGCCCCACCATGGTCAGCATCGGCAGGGGCAAAGGTTGAGCAGGTGTGGTCTCCTCGCTCCCCCCCCCGCCTCCACGCCGTCCCTGTGGGCTCACGCCAGCTCTGCGCACCCCCCTACTCTACGAAGACCCCCATGGAGCAGCTCTGTGTGCCCAGGATGAGGCACTGCCTGAGACTAGGGTCCATTCCAGCATTCTCCCCTGGGGGAGCCCCTGCATGGCTGAGAGGGTCCCGTGACAGCTCCCTGTTGACCCACCGAGGACTGGGTGGACCGAGGCCCTCGCGCACCCTTTTGACGCAGCGTAAGGGTAACCTCCCTCGGAGGTCTAGAGTCCAGTGCCCCGAAAGCCCTGCCATCTCGCTGGGAGGGGCCAGCCTCTTGGGACACGAGCCACGCCTGGCCGCATCACTCGAGCTGGCCCCGCGTCCCCGGCCCCGGCTGATGGCGATCTGTGTGGGCATGTGACGGGTGAGAATGCTGCTAGAACGGGTCCCTGCAGACTGGCTCACGTGTCGCAGTGGGCGTCTTCCCAGCCGACAGAGACAGGACAAGCCATTTAGCTAGTTAGAGACTTGCCTGGGGAAACTGCTCCATTGCAGGGTAAATAGATATTTTCGCCCACCTAAAGGGAAACCCTAACAGCACCTCTCACCACCACCAAAAGATGAGACAGCAAAGATTCAGACAAGGATCTGGGCGTCGGCTCCTTGGGAAACGGAATTAATAGCCCGGGTCGCTTCTCTCTGAGGTGGGACCGGCAGCTGATGGAGCAAGCGGGCCCTGGAATCAGACCTGTGTTAGAAGTCCAGCCCCACCTCCCTGACCCTTGGTCTCCTCATCTGTAAAACGGGGCCAGTGCCGTGCGGGTTACTGAGACAATAAAACTCATGCACAGGGCGGCACCCAGCGACGGCTAATACAGGGTGGTGCTGGCTGGCCAGGCACCCTGTCCCGGGCGGAGCAGAACATGCCTCACTTCTCCTGGGTCAGTCTTTACGTTCCTCCCTCTTTCTTAGCTGCCTCTGTTGAAGGCCAAGTTCAGCTCTTGGGTGGTTTCTGCCAGGAGTGACAGATTCAACTCTGTCCAGCCAGTTCAGCAAAATTCTGTACAGCCTTTAGGGGAGAGAGAGGGTGATGGATGGGCCTCCGAGTCCCCCCACCAGCCCCGCCTTACACCCCAACAGCCGTCCGCTAAGCGCTGCCTCTCGTCCTGCCAGCCACTTCATTACAGACGGGACGAACGGGCCCAGGCACCCTGCACTGCGTCAAATAAATCATGGCTTCCTGCGCCGTAAGTCACAGGCCGTGATGGCTGTGAAACGCCAGGCCTGACAGAGGCTGCAGGGCGGCCAGCCCTCTGTCATCCTTAGAGCCCCGGACGACAGCGGGGAGAGAGGCCCCTCCCCTCAGGGCGCAGCCCTTGGGAGGGCAGCTGGAGCTCGCCCCGCCTCTGGCCCAAAAAGACCCCTTCCCTCTGATCATGCCCACCTGCCAGCCCAGACAGGTGTCCCAGTCAGCCCAGAGCTGTGGCAGAGGGTTCGAGGTCGACCCCCGGGCCTCACACCCACCAAGCCCCTCCTGGCCGCCATTGCTTTGTTCCCCAAACACACGGGACACACTTGTGGCACCCCAGCCTCACCAAGGAGGGAGCTGAGGTTCACAGAGAAGCCCCTCCTCACCCGGGGCCCCTGGAGGATTAGTGGAGATCAGGAATCACACCCAGTTCCAGAACCTTCCGCCACGCACACCGACCCCCTCTCCCCTTCACTCACTGTCGCTCTCAGGCTGCTCATTCTTTTCCTCGTGGGCAGCCTGCGCCTCTCCCCCTATCCCGCCCAGATTATCGCACCCGTGTCACTGATAAGAGTACATACCCTGGTTCTGTGCTAACCCTCCCACGAACCCACGACGGACTGTTTCTGCTCCCACGGACAGATGGGGAAACTCACAGATCTAAAGCTAGGTGCTTAGGTCACCCAGAGTGAGCACAGGGCCAGGAAGTGACCCCGGACCTGTGTGACCGCAAAGCCTGGGCTCACAACCTCCATTTCCTTGCTTAGGACCCAGGCACTGTCCCGGGGCCTCGTGGGGACTAAGCAATGACAGCTGGGGCAAATGTTTACTACCTGAAAATAGCCGGTCAGGGCGAGGCACTACCTTGGCCAGGTCCCTCTGAGCGCTGTCCAGGATCGCCCATCTTCTGAAGGATTGGGGCGGTGGAAAGAGGGCGGTGAGGGTCCAGCAGCCTGGGTTCCTATCCCTCCCTCTGCTGTGTGGCCCTGGCCAATTTACTTTCCTTCTCTGGGCCTCCATCTTCCCGTCTGCCCATGGAGAAGGTTCCCCAGCCTCCTGGGGGCAAGAGCTGCTCGGGTGACATGCCCAGAGTCCCGGGCTGAGGTGTGCCCACGCATGCTCAGTGTTGAGAAGGCCTGGGGATGGGTGGTGGGGGCCATTCCCAGGCTGCAGGCTCCAATGGGAGCAGGTGTGCCTGGCTGAGCCAGTCCCAGGAGGCTCCAGGGCTATATTGCCCAGTGGCCATTAGGCTCATGTGGCTGTTTAAGCTTAATTTTAAATGAATTAAAATGATATAAAACATTTGGGTTCTCAGTCACACCGGCCACATTTCAAACACTCGATAGCCACGTGTGGCCATGGCTACCGTATGTGCAGCCCAGGTATAGAGCATTTCCATCAACGTGGAAAGTTCCACCGGGCTGTGCTGCACCACGGCCGGGTCCCAGACAGCACCAGCTTAGCTTTGCATCCTCACATCCCAGCAACCCTCTTGACGGGCCCAGTGGCCCAGCTCTGGACAGAGCAGCTGGACCACCGCAGGGGTGCAAGAATTGTCCACGGAGGCATTTGGGGCAGGCCCAGTCTCCCAGGCTAAGGATGGTCCCTCCTGCTTCGGAAGGTCCAGCCCCTTAGCCCCAGTGCAAAGCATCAGCAGCTTCCTCCATTATGACCACTGACAGGCCTCCAAAAGCCCAGTGGGGACGGGCTCAGGATGGAGATGCTTCGATTCCCCCAACCGTCAAAGGCTCTCTCAGTCCCCGGGCCCCGGCCACCCATCCTGTGGTGCAGATGGAGAAACAGAGCCCAGGGGCTCCTGGGGGCTCCTACTGTCCTCTGCTCCATTGCAGCAAGAAACAAAGCTTCTCATTATTGCAAAGAACCCCCGTTTCGTCCCCCTCTGACCCTTCCAAAATGCCCTGAAAACCACGCAGGGTCTCCCGGGGACACGCACGGCTCTATTTTCTCCCGTCTGTCTAGTCCCCCCACCCTCACCCACCCTCAAGCATACACTCCACATTTCCCTGCATTTTCAAGAGGTTCTTGGATGGAAGGCAGCCCACTGTGTCCAATGAATCCCAGGCCAGAAACTTCTGTGTTTGTGGCAGATTCCTAATAAGGACTCGGGGACCCTTCAGTGGAAGATTCTAGACTAGACCCCAGGAAGCCCTCCCCCTGCGCTGACATCATGGCCCAGGAGGCCTTTGCCTCTGTGTGGGGACCCTCGCCCTCTGTCCCCTCCCCGGTCAGAAACCAAAGCTTTGCCCTGGGCTTCCATCCTGCCCCTTCCTCCTCTGGAGGTGAGAGGAGGGGTGGGGTGGGGGGCAGGAGGGGGGAGGCGAGAGGAGACAGTTATTTAGGATCCACGGAGGCAGTTGCTAGGAGATGCCTGGAGACCTCACGGGAGAGGGGAGGGGCGGCCCAGGCGGAGCCCCGTGTGGGCGGCCGAGGGGCAGTCACCCCCAGGCCTGGCCTGGCCCACAGACCCCTAGGTGCAGCGTTTCGGGGGTTAGCGTGTTTGCAGCGGGGGCCTTGGGGGATGAGCCTTTAAACTGGGGAGACCGAAGAATAAAGCTGAGAGGGAACAAAGGCAGAACCAGAACCAGCTCATGCTGGGGGTGTTCTGAGGCCTTGCAGCACTGCCACGGGCCCCTGAGCCCCTGGAGTGATGTCAGGGGAGGAAAATCGGCAGGCCGCCTGAAAGGCCGCCTGGCACCGCTGGCGACTGCACCCAGCCCCGTGGCCATGCTCGGCGAGGCCCCTCCCGGCCACGGCGTCCACGCCTCCCCACGGCCCACTGGACGCCCCACTGTCTCCCGCTCGTGTAGTGGGGCGAGGACCCTGGGAGGAGTGAGGGTCTCGCCAGGGTCCCAGGGATTCCGCCTGGTGGACCCTCTTCAAGCTCACTCTGTGCGACCCCGAGCCAGATGGCTCAGTACCTTCCTCTCCAGCAGTGACCTGGGCGGGTGGTTCTGGCCGCCCGAGGGAAGCGCTTTGTTCCACGGGGTGGGGATGAGCTGAGTGCTCGGCCCATCCAGGCCAGGTGGTGCTTCTGTCGGGCAGGGAGGGTCCCCGGCAGGCAGAAGCTCCACTAGGGTGTCCTCGAGCGGAGGCAGGGCGAGAGGGAGCCCAGGGGCTGTGCCCCCACCGCCCCCTTGCAGATGGGGTGGCTGAAGCCCGGATGGGTAAACACGGCCCAGGCCACGTGGCAGGTCAGGCTCACCCCAGGACCTTAGCACGTGACGGGCTCGTCGTCCACAATCACGCAAATGTGTCCCTAGCTCCTCTCCTTTGCCGAATGCTTTTGTTGCCCCTCTCACCAGCTATTCTGGAGGGAGGTGGGCCCCATGCCGGCTCTGTGTATATGAGGCGTCTGGGAATTGAGCGGGCTGCGAGTGGCCTGCGGATTCCACTGCCAGGGCCCTTGGCCCTCACTGAGGACAGGGGCACCTCGTTCCCACCAGCCACGCAAAGACCAGAAGCAGGGTGCCAGCGGCTCTGATGCAAATGCCCTCGCTGGGTGCAGGGGTCTGGGCCCCCTGTCGTCCCTAACAACCTGCCAGGCTGACAGACAGGAGCTAGTGAGAGAGTCGGGGCCTTCACCATCCTGGGCCCCTGCAGGAGGCTCAGAGCTCCCGGAACGGCTGGAGCCGCACGCAGGTTGAGTCTGAGGGCACGGGGGTGTAGGGGGCGGGGCATCCTTCTCCTGTGTCTTGATATCCAGCCAAGCTCAGTACTCAGAGCCACGGTGAGGGCCACAGTGCTCATTCTGTCCAGAAAAGCCTTCCAAAATAGATGCAACAGGGTGTGTCCGGAATGGGATTAGGAAGGACAGGCTGAGGTCACTGGCTCCGAGGGGAGGGTGATGTGTTCTAGCCCTAAGCGACCGGGCAGCCTGCTGAGGGCCAGGCCGTGGCCTAGACCTTCCCGAGCTGCGGGATCGAGCAGGTGAGCTGGGGGGCAGCCCATGACAGCCTCTCTCGTGTCGGTGGCCCCGTGCCCTTTCCAGAGGGGCCAGAGCTATTTCTCCCCAGCAGAGGAACAAACACAAACAGGGAGGGCGAGAGTGAACGTTTGTGTTTCTGGGTTCAACCCCTGGGGAAGGAGTCGGGCTGGAACCTGGGCCTGACCTCCCTCGTCCAAGGCCTCCCCCCAAGGACAGCTATGGAATGAACACGTGCACAGGCCCCATCCAGAGGTCCATGGCCAAACCACAGGGCCCGGGGAAGCAGCCCAGGCCATCTGGGAAGCCAGCTACCCTCCCCTCCTCTGCTGGCCCTACGGGGTCCACTCGGGGCTCCCCAGGCCCGTCTGTGAGCGGCGGGGGCGGGGGAGCGCTGCAGGCATCCCTTTGCCTGAGGCTTGGGAAAGACAGAGGTCCCCGTCCCCCAGCTTGCGGTCTGGCGAGGGGGCCAGATTCTCTCTACAAAGGTCACCCGAAACCCAAACGTCTTCCCATGGCCTTGGCTTTATTAGCCTGACCTGTTCCGGCCCCGTCTGCAGTGGGGCTGAGTGGTGTGTGCGCCTCTGAAAGCAGCCTGGGCCCTCCGGGGACTGCCTGCACCTCAGTCACCGCGTGGCTTCCCGCCAGTGTCTGCGGGAGCCTTGTCTTTCCTGTCCCCTGAGCATTTGCCACGCCTGCTCCCCACGGGGCCGGGCTCACTGGGGCACAGCCGCGTGGTGCAGCTTTGTGGCAGCTGCCTGGGCCCTGGGCTGGCCCCCATCCCGGCAGGGAGGCAGGGCTCCTCCTGATGCACGGAGGACAGTTCTGGAAGCCCCACGAAGGGAGCAGGGGACTCACCCCCTTTCAAGGGCCTGTGCGAGGCCCATCCCCAGGGGACCGGAAGAGTGGGAGACCAGGACCAGAGCTCAGTCCTAATCAAAGAGTAAGGACAGGAGGCACCCACCCACCCAGGCAGGAGGATTCTGCCAGGTTCTCACCCAGCAGCATGCCTTCCTCTCCAGACCTAGAGAGCAAGGGGCTCTTGGGGAAGCCAAGCCAGGAGAGGGAGCTTCTGCACAGGGGAGGGAGGGTGCTGATCTGAGACCCCTCCCACCCCTGCTTCTGGCACCACTTTCAGGGCTTGGAACTCTCAGGAGGCTTTCCCGTGTGAAGAACTGAGAGGTCAAGGCAGGAAGAGCTTGCTTTCTGGATCCACCCCCCACCCTTCCTGGGATCTGGGAACCAGACCATTCTGCTAACCTTGACCTCAGGGACCGTGCCAGTCTGGCACGCACGCTCTCTGCCTTCCCTACTGCGCCTGAGGCAGACAGTACTAATCAATCCCCACACTGTCCCCAGTTCCAGACACACCTTACAACTCTCCGAGGCTGCTCTGGGCAGCCTGCCGGTCAAGGATAGGAACCCAGGGTAAAGCTCCCTGCCTCCCTGCTTTGACACGGGCCTTATCGAATGTTTCCTAAGCACCTTCTCAGAAGCTCTCAAGGGCTACAGGCCTGGTCCCTGAGCCTAAGGGGTTATGGGTGGCTTTTTTAGGGTGTGGGTGGACTCGAGACCACCCTTTGGTCAGTGACCATAGCACGGGCCTTCTGGGTCCTCTTTCCACCCTCTCAGTTTGCATCTGTTTGGGGGTGATGGTTCGCAGGCCTCGACTGAGGGCAGGGGGAGCCCAAGTTCTGGCCAGGGTCCGCTGGCCTCCGGATCGGCTGAGGCCCCGCCCCCGGCCCCTCAGTAGATCCCTTTCATCCTCTTGTTGTCGGGATCGAAGGGAGACTTGAGGTGAGCCTGGGCCGGGTAGGTCACTCCCATCCTCTCCAGGGCGTACTCTCCACTCTTCACAAAGTCCAGCGAGACCTAGTAGCAGAAGAGAAAGGACCTTGGCCACTCGTTACCCAGTGGGTGCTGGGCTCACGCTACCTGCCTCTTGGGACGGGGCCAGCTGCCTCGGCCTCACGCCCCTCCTGCGGGCAAACCCATCGCTGTGCTGAGGGTCTTCCCTGAGCCGAGGAACTGCCCTGAGCAGGTAGATTCCGTGTCCCCATGCCCCCGGGTTGGACTTGAGCACCTGGGGTCCAGCAGAGCCGAGGTCTGGCAGTCAGTGAGATTTCTCCCACGGGGCAGCACCCCTCCACCCTGGAACTGCAGGTCCCTGGGAACCGGAGCACGGCCTGGACACGCAGGGCAGTGGCGGGCAGAGGCAGAGTGGGCTGGCCCAGTGCAGGATCCTGTTCTCCTGGTGCAGAGAATACACCCAGGGCCGGGCCTCACGGAGGGGTTCTGCTCAGGTTGTTAAATGACCTCTCTCGGCAGCTCAGGGTTGGACGGAAAAAATACCCCAAACAGATGAGGCTTTTTACGTGGCTGCAGTGTTGGAATGAAGCGGCTTCTAGACCAGCCTTCTGAGCCGTGGTGGGCACTGGCCGGGCTCAAAGTTCCACGCTGCCCCCACTGGGCCCAGAGGCAGTTGGCAGAGACCACTGGTGCCTTCAGAAGTCTGAAGGACGGGCTTGCCCAGAGCTGGGGCGTAGAGTCCTTACTAATAAACACCCCGGAGGCCACCAATTCTGCCCCCACGTCCAGAGCCTTTCCTTTCAAGGGCAGTTTTCCTACTTTACGAAAGAGTCTTGGTTATCCCGCTGCTGTGCTGGTAAATGTTTAACAACCAGCTCTCAACGGAGGGGAAGGGGTTGGGGGATGGGGGAGGCCTGATTGTGGCATTTGCCCATTTCCATGGTATAAACACACTGGACATCCCTGATGGCGGGGTTGGGAAGAGGTGGACACAGTCGGCTCTTACAAGCCAGCCTGAGCCGGCCCTGGCCCTGCACTGGTCAAACCCGGGTACCCTGGGCCACCTGTCTGGGTAGGTATAAGTGTTCCTTCCTCGGTCACATTAATTAGAAACCCAACCTGACCAAGCAGAAAAAGCAAGAATTATTGTTCTTTGAAAGAAGAGGTGGCTAGGCCTGCACCCACCCCTACCCTTGCCTGGGGCAAATGGACACAGAGCTTTAGCTGGGACCCAGGGCTCCATATCTGGGGTGTCAGAGAGCCCTTTGTCACCGCAAAACGTCATCACCAGCCACGGCAACCCCTTCGTCACAACTGTGCTTATTAAGGCTCCACTCAGAGCAGAGATCTGTAGACAGCCCTGTGAGGCAGGTGGGAATAATCTGTCCCCATTTTACAGATGAGGAAACCGAGGCTCAGAGAGACGCCCTTGTCCAAGGTCGCCAGGCCAGTCCAGGGCAGAGCGCCAAAGCTACTGAGGCCGAGCCTGTGTCCTGAGCCTCCCAGCCCACTACAGATGCAGCCTCCTCAGACAGCACCGCAGCCTGGCCCCTTCCCCCTTGGGTCTGCCATCAGGCCTGGCCCGCCCCTGCACCTCTGCCAGGGCTGGTCTGACTCACTCCTCCTGCCCCCTCCATGCTGCTGCTTCCAAGTGCCTCCCCCCAACCTGGAGCCTCAGTCGGGGGAGGTGGGGGGCTGCAGCCCAGAGACTGTTGGGGCAGGGGAGGCCGGAAGGCCCAGCTTGATGGGCATCTCTGCCCCGACGTCAGAGCCTCTTGCGGTCTCTTTCTCCACCGTCAGAGGGCTGGTGCACGACTCCAGGGAGGCAAGCAGCTGAAGCCATAAAGGTGCCACCGATGATAATGAGCTCCCCCCACCACTTGCATCACACCACCCAGCCAGCCCGGCATGAGCTTCACACCCCTCCCAGGGCTCAGACCCCCGGAGGCCCTCTAAGGGCCCTCGCTCTGCCCTCACTCCCCTGCCAGTATGGATGGAGGCATCCGTGCTCTGCGGGGGATTATTTGGGTTTACAAATGATTGTTTGGGCAAAATGTTTAGATTTTCTCCACCCAGAACAAGCTGCCCCTTCTGTCTCATTGCCAAGTTTCCCAAATGTGGTTGCATGTGTGTGTGTCTGTGTGCACGTGTGCCAGTACGTGTGCGCACATGCGGGTATACGCGTGTGTACACTGATGTGTGTGCACACAACGGTCTGCACGCACACGGGGTCTCAAGCTCTAGGGAGCAGCGGGCGTTAGCCCGGCCCAGAGCCTCTTCCTGACCAGGAGAAGCTTGAAGCTTCCAAAATCAGATTCTTTCGGAGAGAAAATATGGAAAGAGCTCCGACTTTGCCCAGGGACACATCAGTCAGTCGCCTCACTGTGCTCTGGTCGCCGCACGCCCAGCACACTCGAGGCGGGGGCAGGGGTGCTGGTGCGGAGCCTAAGAGGACCTGGGGCTCCCGGTGGCAGTGCTGGGGAGTTGGACTCACCGGCCCGCCGCTGGGGTCCCGGATGTAGCCGTAGGCCAGGGTCTTGTCGATGGTGAACCCAAAGTCGGCTCTCCGGACGTGGCCCACCACCTGGCCGTTTCTCCAGATGGCCTCCAGGCCGAACATGGGCACTTTCCTGGAAGAAGCAATAGACAGCTGGGACCCCAGAGCCCCCGGAGGGGAAACTCCTGCGCTTTGCCTGGTCGAAGAGGGCGGGGCGGCGCCCGCCAGACCACAGGCTCCACGCCGCGGGGCTGGTCTGCTATGAGCCCCCGTGCCCAGCGCCTGGCTCCCGGGGATGCCACGGCACAGGCTCCGAGCAGATAAATGAATTAACAGAAAACACCAAAACCAGGATCTGACTTCCGTGTCTCTAGGGACAGGGCCCACAGATTTGGTAGAAGCCCATCTTGAGGGTTTGACTTCTGATCAGTTTTAAACTGTCATACGACTTGTTTTACTCTGATGGGTCTCCTTTTCCTACAGCATCATCTATTAAAAGTGCTTTCCTGTATCACACATAAGGTACAACGCTCGCTGTAAAAGTTTTGAAAATTCAAAATAGAAAACAAAGAGAAGGTTAAACTACAGTCACAGCAACGCCAGCACCGGATGGTCTGGTGCAGATCTTGGCAGACGTGCATCGCACCTGCGAGGACTGTGCTGGGCCCTGGGGAGGCAGCGAGCGCCGTGTGGCCCCGTGGGTCCCCGGGGCGGGTGCTGAGGACCACGCCCGGAGGCGAGTGGGGCACAGCTGGGCCCGGTTACGGTAACTGGAACTGGGTGAACCCTACACTGAGGAAAAGAGCCTGCACAGGGTCCGGGGTGCCGCCCAGTTCAGAGACCAGGAGGAAAAGGTCTGGGCCCCACGGGTCCAGTGGATGAGGGTGGGACGGAAGGAGGCTTTGTAAGCATGTTCTTGTCTCCTTTGGTCTCACCCAGTCCTACTGGGGCGCCACGTCCATGGGAGGGAACTGCCTCAGAGAGGCCACCTGCCTCGCCCAGGGCCCCAGAGCAAAAGCAGTGGGAGTTCTCTGTGACTCCCCAGCCGGCGCCCGGGCTGAGTCTCTCCTCAGGCCTGGGACCGGCCAGGCCATGGCACTGGGTGGATTCTGCAGTCCGGCAGGGAACCCCCGAGCAGGGAGAGCCAGGCTGTGGCCGGTGCTGTCTGAAGTTGTGGGCGCTTCCTGGAGGGCCAGGCGGCAGAAGGCCTCAGCGGACCCCTGCTCTACCTGCACCCCAAACCGGAGCTGAACTGCTCCCCGGGAGACGGACAAGGAATCAAGTGGAGAGGCGGCCTGATGGGAACCCAGGGGGAAGCCGTAGGACGGTGACGGTCCCCAGCTCTGCTCTCTCTCCGCCCCCCTCCCCTGGGCACTCTCAACACTTGCTTTGAAGGTTCCAAATCTGGGAGAGGTGGCACCCTTGACGGCTGGCTGTCAGCTCCAAATCGACGAAGCCCAGAGACGCCCGCCGCCCTGGAGACGGTTGCTACCCAGACTCCGTGTCACACCATCTATGTCTTCCAGTGCCAGCACCCCGGACCCAGGGACAATGTGGGCTCAGCTCCGAGCATGTAAGGGCGACACGCTCAAAAGCTGCCCCGGGGGAGGTGGGGGAGAAGGGATCAGGCCCCTCCACAGGGCTCTCCTTCCACCTCTGCCTCGTGCCCGGGCGAGAGCCACCCTGTCCCTTGGCCCCCATGGTCTCCATCTGTAAGTGGGGCTGGTGGCCCAGCCTGGCCCTTCCCTCCACGGCCCCCCCTCCCGGGCTGTGGGGAGGCTCTAATGAGGACACAGTGGGATGTGGCAGCACCGTGAAGGGCAGCCAGCTCGAGGCCCTCGGTCTGGAGCCTCCCACAGAGCTGGCTTGGGTTGGCAGGGCCTTTCACTTTTAAAATCTGTGTTTGAGGGAATTCCCTGGCAGTCCAGTGGTAAGGACTCTGCGCGTTCACTGCCGAGGGCGTGGGTTCAATCCCTGGTTGGGGAACTAAGACACTGCAAGCACATGGCGTGGCCAAAATAAAATAAAGTAAAATCTGCGTCTGATGAGCGCTACCCTCTTTACTTC